CATTCCAAAGATTTCAACTATCTCTGATGTCACATGTGGGAGAACCTGGGAGTTTTGTTCTAAGGAAATCACAAGAGTACGGATACGACTTCGGATATTGTTCATGCAGCTGTATGTTATTGCTGTATGAGCAGAGTGTATGTGAGAGCCAGGGCAACCTCTGGATGCAATCCGACGGAGAGCATCATGTGTTCTCCGATTGAACCACAAGCCACCATGATAAGCAAATATCTTGCCGGTGCGTCCAGAGATCATTCCCAATGCCCAGATAGCCTTGACGGCTGCCAGCGGACCCCTCAAATGCATTGGATCTGTCTCTGCCATGTTTGCGCAGCTCAAGAGAAGATCAGTGATGCAGACCCCCAGAGGTCTCTGATTTGAACTGTCAAGCAATGGAAGGAACAGGTAGTCATTGACAAGGTGAAATCCCCGGACTCCATGGATTGCCTCAGGTATTGCCTCCAAGAATGGGACCAACTCATTATCATCAGTGAGAGAATCTAGGGTCCACTTCAATGCTCTTCTGTCCCGGGATTCTGACTTCTGTAAGGCCTGGCTGACAATTTTATCGTGAAAGCTGGTGGTGCTCTTAGGGGACATGGACAGCACCCTGCTCTTGATATACCAGATGAGACTCCAGACAAGCCCAGAGAATGGTGTGTGGTAGGGGCTATCAAGTGTGACCAGTGGCAGGAGTGTTAAGACACAGTACAGCATCAGAAATATGCCAAGGAATACACCAATCAACACCACCATAACATGGTTGATTGGGACAAGGAATGCAATCAAGCCCGCAAGGAACAGGATCAGGGAGATGTGGAGTAGCAGTGGAATGAGATCCACCACACCATGCATCCCAAAACGCTGTACACCAAAATACAAGAATGAGAAGACTCGGGCACGTCGGATGGGTGAGGGGCACTTCTCTGTCTTGTGCAAAAACTCCCGTGCCCATTGTTCCACCAAGGTTGCCAAAAGAGCACAGGTTATGCTTAGGCATAGGCTGATAAACCAAAGGGTGTTGCAAATAAGTGAGGTTAGCGCTGGTTGGAACATTTCATTTTGTGTGGTCGATGTGGATGGCATTGTTGTATTTGTTGCCATTGCAGCAAGTTGCTGTGATATCCCAGATAGAAGCTGCACAGTCATAGTCCCTGAATCCTCTTGCAGAGTTCGATAGCTTTCGATGAGAAATGCCGTCAGACTAGCTGAAAAAAGACCAGACTGAAACCATTCAGTACAGGGAGGGCTGACAACTAATCGGGACTCGGGAGACATACAAAAATAAGCATCCCTTCCATGTCCGCCTTCCAGCTTTCCACAAGTGCAGTATCGTAGCGTTGTGCTTCGTCTATGTATGTTGACCAAAGCTTTGCGGATGTCTGTTCACTTTCTGCCTTGGAATATGTGATCTTGTCGCTATCTCGGTACTGCTGTGGGAAGACATTCTGGTTTGCTGGATCTGTATCGCTTGCATGATTTTCTGTAAGGGATGGCTTCAGGCGATCTTTTTGGGGGAGCATCTTCAATATCAAGCGCTTGATAGCGGAAGAGGCTGGGAGCCAATGAGCCATCATCTGAGCCATATGTGTACCATACCGGTAGTGTGCATATTCTTCTCTGGGTCCTCAGCTTGAGTGAGGGGCATTTTGTGTGGGGGACGGGACAGGGTGGTTTTTTGTGGGTCCACAGAGCGTTTGGCTGGGAGGTATCACAATGATTTCATAAGGCCTTGGGAGCCGGATCTCAGCCACGCGGTTCGTTGATCGATCGATGTCTGGCTCTGGCACGAGGCACTACACCAATCGCGATAAGTAATCTTGAGGCGAGGTTGTAGCACCTTGAGGTGGCTTTGCTCTGGCGTCTCGAGTAGTATCCTGTAGGTAAATTTCTTATACGCATTGTGTACGTTTCCTCAGAGGAACTATAATGAAGCTGCTGGAGGTATCACAAGCTCAGAACATGCCACTGTCATATGATTCGTGTGGCTGATGGATTCCCACCAATTCACACGGCCTTCCAACGGCTTTTCGGCACGCTGCGACAACGATGAACACAGATGATCGCGGGCAAATCGGGCCTACGGGCCCATGTCCACCCGGGCTCTTGCGCTACTCACGGCTTCGCGAACTCGGCTCCTCGATTGTGTCTCCAATCACCAGACATCTCAGCTGAATGCTGGATATGCAGCCCGCTGGCAGCTGCAGAGTGTGCCGTGCGGACCCAGGTAAGTCGCCCCATACGTCGAACATACGTCTCATGCTTTCCGCACGGATGGTACAGCTCGCGGGGACCGTGAATTCGTCTCATAGCTCTCCCTCGAAGCCAAACATTGCGCTGTACATATCGTCGATCTTGCGTGCGGGCGTGGCTTTCTCTGTGGTACACCTCAAATACTCCTGGGCGCGCTCCCTCTCTGGGCGAGACTCCTTAAAAACTAGATTCACGGGGGATGATCCACTCCACTGTGGCCAATGGCCATCCTCCATGCCTCTGCTTCATCCCCTCAGCTGCTTAGAGTAAGGGTTAGCACGGAAGTGCGGCTCTTGCGCTCTGCGATGCGCGGACCGTCGTACAGACTCGGACTCGGCTCGTGCATCGGTAGATGGCGGATATGTTGAGTGGTCGGTTTCGATGACGCCAGCGAGGACAGAGTGCGAGCGCGTTCGTGCAGAGTGTACGCTCTTAGGACACGCGCTATTTCCGACAGAAAGGGAGTCATAAGGAGAGCCGCTAGAGAGGGAGAGTTTCCACAGTCTTCCGCGCGGTGCAGCTCGAGGTGTGGCGCCCGTAGACTCAGAAAACGATAGAATGATACTTACCGCTGGGCACAGGACCAGGGGAGCGAGTCAAGGAGGTCAACATGATCAGGCGGAGCTCGCCGGGAGCGGAACAAGTTTGAGAAAGACCGCAGGAATGTGCAGGAAGGGAGGTGACGACGAGGAGATGAGTGGAGGACAAGTGGAGGACGCAAGCACGAGCCTGAGGCGGATCAACGGATCAAGTGGGCAAATAAGGGCAACCTTCTTTCTGGCCACGTCCACGTTGTGTCGCGCCGACTCGCTCGGAGCCTTTCCATTCTCTCGAACCTCGCTCCGTCTCAAGGCACTATTATAAGTCCTCCGTTCTTCCCTCGAATAGCCATTGCCTGCCTCCCGTCGCGCGACCTGGGAGATCTTTGCCTCAGCCCGAGCATTTTTACTTTGTCTCGTCCTTGTTACGGCCACTCGGCGCTCGAGGGGCATATGGATCGCACGGGAGAGTGGTCGCGAGTCATACAACTAGGGCAGGGTCTCACGCAGATACACGTGTATGCCAGGACACTGGGTCAGTGCATGCACCGCTCATTGCCCCGTTTCCAGATCCCCATGCCCCGCGCGAGCGCTGCGATCTCCGAGTCGTCGTCGACCACGCGCACGCCGATCGCGCCACTGCGCACCTGCGCGCTGGTCTACCGCGCACGGGTCCCGGCGAGCCGCCTCCACCGCTTCGCGCGCATCTCACTATAGATCAGCCGATGCCGGATTATGATATCCGGCGGGGCGTTTGAACGTGAACGCGCGCCTTGCGAGTCCGCGTCCGCGGGGCGCAGGCTCGAGCAGCGCAACGCGCGTGCGACGGTGCGGAACGCGCTTGCGACGGCGCGGTACGCGGTGCGGAACCTCCAGCCGCCTACAAACCAAGACGCCCTCGACATCCGAGTCGTGTCTCCCATCGCAGCTGCGCCCCGCCACATCCACATTCACCCCCGCGCGCTGCCGGACCTCCCCGCGGCGCTCGCAAAAGGACGCCCGCTGCACGTCGTCGGCGTCACAGCGGGGCCCGGCTCCGAGTCGCAGCCTGCTTGCGTCCCGGACCTGCGCCAGCGCGCGCTCAACCCCATACCGCAGCTCCGCACCCGCCCCCGCCCCCGAACCGCCGACGCCCACTGCGCTGCACAGCAGTCCGCGGCTCGTCCTCCTCGGCCGGCTGGCCCTCCTCGCACCGCGCACCGCCGCGCTGTAGCTCCACGATCTCTGCCCCAGCGGGACTCTACGGCGTATCTCGCGGAGTACTAGTACCTCAGCGCTGGCCGGTCCGCTGCAGCGCTTGGAAGTTGGAGCTGGGGCTGTCCCCCAGCGTCGGACGGAGGTGCGCTTGGCCCCCAGCAAGTGCCAAGGAGGTGCGCGAGGTGGCGCCGATCCTGGAATCTGGCCAGGAGCCGCGCCTGCCAGTGGTCGTATCGATCGACGTGCCGGGAGAGCTGGTCGAAGACTAAGACTCGACGCGGGACGACGGCGATGCGGCACAGCACAGCGCGCCGAGGCTGCCCTCCGCGCGCAGCAGTTCCGATCGGAGCTGGAGCGTGCCGTTCTCGGAGCTGGAGCGCGCTGTTTTTGGAGCTGGAGAACTTGAAGCAGGGATGGCTGATATCCGGCGGCCCAAAGCCTGCCCGCAGCTCAGCGGGTCCCATTTCAATTTGCCGCTATAGCCTAAGTACACCTCTGATAATCATTCCCAGCTCTGTGCGCATCGTCTGTCCGCCCTTGTTCTTTCAAGTTGTTCTTTGTTCTCCTGCACGATTCATCATCATTATATCGAACCCTGGGCTCGGAGTCGGAGTCGGGTTGGCTGGGGTCCAATGAGGCGCTCAGCGCTGGTCCTTAATTGAACCACTGAGCACCGTGACCTGTCGCCTGAGTGTCGAATTCGCCCGATTGGAACGTTACAATTTCAAAGCCTCCTAAGGAAAGGTACATCGTGATTTCTTTGGCGGTGTGATTTTACTACGCGATGAGAGAAGGCATCTCAGCGGAGACTCTTGGCTCTTGCTGTTCCTAACTTCCTCCTCTTCTGAATCGTCTTTGTCGAGACGAGCTTGCCAACGCGAGGAAAAGCGGGTTGGAGGGAAACTAGTCGGCGTGCCAAAAGCTAACTAAACTCGCAGGCCATGCGCATATCGAGGCCGCAATGTCGAAGAGGAAGAGAACGATAAAAGAGAACGACAAAAACAAAAAGCATTCCGACACGGGGGGTCGAACCCCGGGCTACCGCGGAAGCCAAAGAGCAGATCATGAGAGGCGGTAATGTTACCGCTACACCATATCGGAGACTACCTCCGCGTGATTCACTGCGATTCTCGGCTCCACGGATCTTGACTGGTCTGCAGGGCTGATTCACATCGTACCGGTACAATGAGCAGCAGGCGTGCGGCTCTTGAGTCTTCACAAACGTCTCGGGGCCGTCTGCGAATTCAACGTGACGCTCGCTGCATTTCAAGAATCCCTGTCTGGAACTGGCCTGCTTCACCCTGAACTGTAGCGCACATACTTACCCGCTCGCAAGGCGCTGCGAGTCCGACCATCGATCCCGCCTCGTCTACAGATTGTGTTACACCGACCGACCTCAGGCCTCCGAGTCAGGCCCCTTCCTGAATCCAGGCTGGTACATCGTATTCCATACACTCACTGCGTTGAGGCCCCTCACAGACAGAGGGTCTGCCTACCCCCCTAGACCGAGGTGTAGACACATGTCCATGTCTAGATGTATCTACATTAGTGCATGCCTGTAGACAACCCTTGTGGGGATCAGTGAAGCTGTGCCGAGGTCTGCCTACCACCATAGACAAATATAGGCAGAGGCAGGCAGAGTCAGAGCCTCTGCCTAGCTCTTCCTGTACTTTTTTGGCCTTCAATCTTTTGCGCTGTTGAATTTGCAGCTGACTTGCTAGACCGAGGGTTGCCGAGCAGTGCCGAGCTATGTGTACATGGGTCGAAGCGGTTCGGCAGAGGTACAGCCACATAGGCACGTGCTTGCACAGCCTGTCTACCGTGGTAGACCGGATGTAGTTTATGCGCCACAGACCCCATGTAGACAGGGGCTGTCTACATGGATTGATAGATGTACACTGAGGTACACCAATATAGGCACGTGTAGTTTATGCTGGACATAGTCTGTCTACAGGGGGTCTCAACGCAGTGACTAGTCAGATGCGTGAAATCACGGATAACAAGAGTCCGAGTCCTCTACCGCCTAGGCCTCGCATGTGTCCACGTTCCAAGTCAATCGTGATACGCCGGCGGTTCCTCCACACTCAGATCCGCATCCGAGCCGGGCGGCGCAGCAGCTCCCCCGGCGCCCGTCGCGCGCAGCCTGCCAGCACCAGCAGACCTCGTCTCAGGCTGCCCCATCCCAAGCCGCATCTTCGCGCCATGCCCCCGCCCCGCCGAGTCGCCCGTGCGCTCGCTGGTCGGATATGCTGCACCAAGGACATCGTGCACGTCAGCGGGCTCGTCGGCTCAGATAAGAGATAGCGGACAACGCACGCGTGACCGTGCCTGCTCCCCCTCCCCGACCCGCCGACGCCCACTGCGCTGCACAGCAGTCCGCGGCTCGTCCTCCTCGCCTCGCACCGCGCACCGCCGCGCTGGGTCTCCACGATTTCCGCCCCATCTCGCGGCGCACCTCAGCGCTGGCCGGTCCGCTGGAACGCTTGGCCCCCAGCTCCAGGACGGAGGTGCGCTTGGCCCCCAGGCCCCAGCACGGAGGTGCGCGAGGTGGCGCCGGTCCTGGAATCTGGGCAAGGAGCCGCGCCTGGTCGTATCGATCGCCGTGCCCAGGGGAGAACTGGTCGAAGACTCGAGCGGGACGACGGCGGTGCGGCGCAGGCCCTCCGCGCAGTTCTCGGAGCTGCCAGGGGAGCGCGCTGTTCTCGGAGCTGGAAACGCAGTGCTCGGAGCTGGAAACGCAGTTCTCGGAGCTGGAGCGCGCAGTTCTCGGAGCTGCAGCGCGCATTTACGATCGGAGCTGGAGTGCGCAGTTCTTGGAGCTGCCAGGGGAGCGCGCAGTTCTCGGAGCTGGAAACGCAGTGCTCGGAGCTGGAAACGCAGTGCTCGGAGCCGGAGAAGCAGGGGACAAAGCCCGCAGCTCAGCGGGTCCCATTTGCCGCTCCAGCGTAAGTACACCTTCGCTATCTATCCTCAGCTCTGTGCGCATCGTCTGTTCCGTCCTCGTTCTTCGTTCTTTGATCTCCTGCACGATTCATCATATCTACCCCTGGGCTCGGAGTCGGAGTCGGGTTGGCTGGGGTCCGGCTCGGAGGATGCGCTGGTCCAGTGGTCCTCAATCGAACCACCGAGCACGTGTCGCCCGAGTGTCGAATTCGCCCGATTGGAAGTGTTGATTCTTGAATTCGCCCGATTGGAACGTTACAAAGCCTCCTACGGAAACGTGGATCGTCCGCGTCATCTTTATGGCGTTGTGATTTTACTAGTACTACGCGATGAAAGAAGCCATCTCAGTGGAGCCTCTTGGCTCTTGCTGTTCCTCCTCTTCTAAATCTTCTTTGTCGAGCTTGGCAACGCGAGGAAAAGTGGCGCACTGCCAATTTCCAAAACCTAACCAAACGCGCGGGCCATGCGCATATCGAGGCCGCAATACCAAAGAGCAAGAGAACGACAAAAACAAAACGCATTCCGACACGGGGGGTCGAACCCCGGGCTACCGCGCAACCCAACATGCACTCACTATGAGAGGCGGTAATGTTACCGCTACACCATATCGGATATGGCTTTCGCCAGTATTCGGGACACACCGCGCGCACCTCCCTCCGCCCACTTCAATCACTCCTCTCTATCGTCGTGCGCACTCGGGTCCACGATTTGGCGTAGCGGGAGTCCGATATGGTGTAGCGGTAACATTACCGCCTCTCATTGGGTCAACGACTATCGTCTGCGCGGTAGCCCGGGGTTCGACCCCCCGTGTCGGAATAGTTTTGTTTCTCTGTTTCTCTTTCTGATTCGCATTCTGTTTCTGTTTCGCACAAATAGTGGGGTTCGGTTTTTGATAGGTGGAGTGGCCTGAGCGAGTCTCGTTCAGCTTCGTGGCCGTGCGCCCATTGAGATGAGAACCGTTTTTTGCTTTGACAGATGGGCGGTCAGGTCTCGGGACACTGTATACTGCATGATTTTTGAATCACGACGTCACTCTGTTTTTCTTTCTGATTCTAATTCTGTTTCTGTTTCTCACAAATAGTGGGTTTTGTTTTTGTTATGCGGACGCGTTCATCTCTTGGACCGATCGCTCCTTTCGCCCCTTTGGGATGAGATCCCCTCGAGTTTTTGTTTTAGTCTTGACACTGATGGGCGGTCAGGTCTCGGGACACTGTATACTGCATGGTTTTGAATTACGATAAGGAAGAGGAACAGCACCGAGATACCGCTAAGCTTGAGAGGGCCAGCTTCTTCAGTTTTCAGCACGTAGGACATATCACAGCGTCACGCAATCTTAAAATCGCCTTCAGATGATGAAATCGGGCGAGTTCAACAGTTGATTTTAAATTTGATTTCTGCAGGGGCCTCGGTGGTTCGCTTGAACAAGCCGAACAGCCCAGCCCCAGAGAATCTGAGCGGAAAGGTATACAACAATATATAAGTAGTATACCAGGTTGTGACCAAGACGTGTCTGACTCTACCACTTAGAGTCAACTCGCTGTACCACTTAGAGTCAACTCGCTGCGAATATCAGCTCGTTCTCCGTGTTGTATTTCTTAACAGGTGTCAGCACTACGAGTCTACGACTGGATTGAGGCGCTGACGGGGGAGCGATCGTGCGGAAGGATAAGTCGATCGGCTGTACTCTCTGCGCGAATCATATTCAGACCCCATGGATAGTGCGATCTTGCCACTTTGTCTGTGTGTATATTTGGGGCCAAGTCTTGAGCGCCTTGATAACTTCCATCACTCTCGCCAACGCGGACAGCTCCTTCGTAGATAAACCTGCACCCAGAAATTGATTCACAATGCTGCTTCGTCAGAACGTTGCTAGCTACGATCGGTTCCACCAACTTGAACTTTCCTACACCCCCGTGCTTTGCTCCGGCACCCGCGCAGGCACAACCGCCAAGCGGAAATTGAAGTTCACCCCGTCGCGCGACCACACCTCCAGCAGGCGGAGCTGCTCGTGCTTGATCCCTGGCATCCCCGTCGGTCCCACGAACTCGCCCCCGTGCATCTAGTGTCCCGCTCAGCAACTGCCCCACCAAGCGACCCGCACAACTCCAGCTTACCTCCATGTACCTCTTGAGCAGCCGCGCCACCTCCTTCCCCAGCGCCGCGCGCGTTACGTGCCGGCCCGTCACGTCCTTCAGCGCCAGCCCCGCGCGCGTCTCGGGGTACCCCGGCCACTGCCAGCGCCGCGTCAGCCCGCGATGCACACAAAAAACGCAACACGCATTGCCAGTGACAAACACGCACCCCAAGGACAAGGGCCCCCGCCGCCGCGCCGCGCAGGGCCTTCGGGATGTAGCGCTCGACGCGGATGCGCGGCTCCCACATGCCGCGCGAGAGCGCGAGCTCCGTGAGCGCGACGCCCTCGGTGCACGGGCCCGCGGCGGCGGCGAACGCGATGCTGACGGGCGCGGCGCGCCCGATCGGGAGGTGGTGCGGCATGTACGCCGCGATGCGGTCGCGGTGCCAGAGGTCCGTCGCGTTGGGGTGGGGGGGCGCGACCGCGGCGCGGGGGCCGGGCTGGACCGTCTGGGGATGTGAATGGCTTGTGAGCGCGGGCGGGAGGGGGAGGACGGGGACTTGCGAAGAATTTGATTGTCGGCTGCGGGACGAGTTTCGGGGGGGCGAGGATGTCGATGGGGCGGATAGCGCGCGGGGCGTTCATGGACTGTGCCTGCAGCGGCGCGGAGTTGACGGGCGCCGGGTTCGTGAGAACGACACGCTATCGGGCCAGAACTTTAGCTTCCGAGGGAACAAGGAGCGGGGTATAGTATGTACGTACCCCGTGAGTTCCACGACCGTAGAATACAAACTCGGCAGGCTGTTGCTGTTGTTCGTCCACGTCCATGAAAGGTTCTCGTAGCTTTAGAATTGAGGGATATGTGGAGGGAGGAGTCGAAGTTTTTCTGAACCCAGTGCCACCACCGGCTTTTTATTGCAAAATTTAAAACAATGCACCTCCAAATTAGGCAAGTGTGGTCAAAGCGCGGCCTCGTGTCCTGATTGTGGCTCGGGCGCTTTGAGCAAGCGTGTCTGATCTGAACAAAGCCACCTATGTGCAGAATGATTGGATATTCGTTGCGAATTCAATGTACAACGCAGCTTGCTTTTTCTCAAGGTACAATACAAAGCGCCAGCGTGGTGAGTAGATACCGGAGGCCTCCGTCCGCCCCGAACCACGTTCACAAACATTGTGAATAGAATTCTGGCGCGGGAGTGTCAGCGGGGGCGTCTTCGAGAGAGGGGCACGACGTACCGTTGCTCACGGTGCAGGTGAACGGCGACGCGCTGCAGCTATGTCAGCCGCCTTCCAGCTGAAATTCAAGAATCATACGCACCAGACCGTCGGGCCAGTCCACCCCTGCCCGCCGCACTGCGCCCAGTGCGCCGCGGTGCCGCCGGTGGGGTTCGACGCCGCCGTGGTCGTGGTCGTAGCCCCTGTGGTCGTAGCCTTCGTGGTCGTCGTCGCCGTCGACCCCCCGGACTCCAGCACGCTCACAATGCCGTTGTACGCCGCCCTACATCACCACACATCTCAGCACGCGGCGCCTTCAAATGAACGAGACGAAACGCACTTGGGCTGCCAGTTCGCGTCGAAGAGCAGCGGGGTCGACGACGCGATCCACGAGTCGGGGTCGCGCACGCCCCAGACGGTGATGGAGACGCACTGCGCGACCGCGAGGCACGCCTTCACGACGTTCTGGTAGTCCGCGGTCGGCGCGCCCGAGATGTCGAGCTCTGGCGCGCGTTAGCGTTCTCTGCGTCAGCGGGCGCGCGTGCGAGGCGGCGGGACGCACCGGTGACGGCGACGTCGACGCCCGCGCCCGCGAGCGCGGTGAGCGCGCTTTGGAAGTTGGCGGAGCCGCCGGCCTACATGTGGGTGACAGCATTCGGTGAGGGGACGAGATTGGGGGACGCGGGACGCGGGACGCACGCCGAGGTGCGCTTGGGTGCCGATGCCGTCGACGAGCTGGCCGTTGGCGTTGAGGCTCTTCACGAGGTTGACGATGCCCTTCACTTTGGCGTTGTTCGAGTCCAGGTTGTAGTCGTTGATGTACAGCTATGGATTCGAACGATGGGCGGGGATGGATACATGGAGCGCTTGGGCGACGTACCTTGACGGAGGGGTCGGCAGCCCGCGCGGCCTTGAAGGCGATGCTGAAGACGTTGTTGCCAAGAACTTGGGTCCAGTGCGTGCTCTTTATGAAAGTCACGTTGTGCATTATCTCCGCTGCGACAACACGACGCGCATGCGTACCTTGATCGAGCCGTCCTCGTTCTGCGCCGCAAGTCAGTACACAGATCAAGAAGGTGGAGAAAACTAACAATGTGCTCGTTGACGACATCAACGGCATCTGCATGGACATGAGCATCGAGGATCCTACTTTTGCTCGGGGTGTCTCACAGAGCTTGCCCTTGTACCGGTTCATCACGGTGGTGATGTGGTTCTGCGGAGGGGGAAGGATGAGCGCGATGTTGCGAAAGGAGGGGGCGCTCGAGTGTACCTGGAGGACCGTAGTGAGCGTCGCAGCATCGTTGATAGCCGTGACCCAAGCGGGCAGCTGCCCCGCCCAGACTACGGAGCCCTGAGTTCACAACCGCGCTTGACGCTTATATGATATATAACCGCGCACCGAAGGTATGGCCGCGGATGCGCTTGTTGTTGGTGACAGCCCACTGTGCATGGTCTCAGATGGCGATATGGAAGGTTACTGGAAACGACGCACGTTCACCAGATAGTCAGAGCCCCCGAAGTTGAAGGAGCCGCGAGATGGTTCGGTCGAGTCCCACTGGCGCAACCGGCTGGATCAGGGCGCGCACAGGGGTAGTGCGCGCAGAGCCGCACCTTCATCGAGTTTTCAGGCGTCACTCCACCGAAGTCCGCCTTCGTAATGGCGGCGTCCTGCAAGACGCTGCATCAATCGCGAGACAACAAAGAAAGGTATCATTAGCGGGGGATGAGAGTGGAGCTCGACGGCGTACGAGAGGTGGCCCTGGTCGGCGGCGACGCCGAAGAAGACCTTGCCGTGGTTTTTGAAAAGCGCGTCGAGGCTCTGCGCGGCCTGACGCTTTTCGACTGCACAGCCGGAGACGGCGAGCGCGAGAGCGAGGAGGACGGAGGCGAGTGGGAGCTGCATTGTGGGTCGGGTTCAAGACGCGCTTGGAAAACGGCAGCTAGTACGGGCGTGTTGAACCTTGCTGCAGGGATATTTGTACTGGCGGGGTTTTTTCATTCCGACGTCTTGGCGAGCAATGTCCCGAGAATTGCGGTACGGAGCGGGCCGTTCTGTGGAGTTGAGGCGACCGCGCGTCAGGTGAATATGAGACTTCAAGCTTGAAGCAGGCTGGCTTGCATGCATTGCGTCGAGAAGGAGAGGAAACAGCCATGGAAGCGTGCACCACGATCTTTGAGGAGTGGAGATTTGCGGTCAAGTGAGCGTCTCGGCAGGGACTGTAAATAGCCCAAAGGTCCAGTGACACTCCGGTAGCCGCGAGCAAGGTCAGACATATACCGATGAGCTGAGCAGCAATCCGGATCAATTGGACACCTATCTTGAAAGGAAGGGGCCTCTTCGTATATGCGTCTCGGCGATATATGGCGTCCCCGCTCCGAGATTTAGGCAAACCAGACAGCAGAAATGCACTCGGTCTTGATGGTGACCGTGGTGTGTGCTGGAGCGGACGCCCACCCAATGGAATCGTTTGAGCCAGTTAGGTGAGATGTCTGCTAGTGACAATCACGATGTGCATTGGGAGCTTTG